CACTCCCAGTCCTACTGCCAGTTTCTGGAAGACACCTTCTTCAAGCAGTGGTACAGGAAGAAGTCTGCATCCTTCAAGAAAAACATGATTTTCATGCAGGACAATTCAATTCAATTCAATTGAAGTTTATTTATATAGCGCCAAATAATGACAAGAGTCGTTTCAAGGCACTTCACATAATAAACATTCCAATTCAGGTCAGTTCATTAACCCAATCAGAAATAATGTTTCCTATATAAGGAACCCAGCAAATTGCATCAAGTCACTGACTAGTGTCAGTGACTTTACAGCAATCCTCATACTAAGCAAGCATAAAGCGACAGTGGAGAGGAAAACTCCCTTTTAACAGGAAGAAACCTCCAGAGAATCCCGGCTCAGTATAAGCAGCCATCCTCCACGACTCACTGGGGATCGAGAAGACAGAGCAGACACACACACACACACACACACACACACACACACACACACACACACACACACACACACACACACACACACACACACACACACACACGCACACACGCACGCATGCACACGCACACGCACACACACAAAGACAAGTAATGCATCTATAGATTTATTGTGATTTCTTAGTAAATATTCTATTTGGTGAAAGATAAACTTTATTGTATTTATCCTAGTGGATCTATAATTAAACGGATAAACTAGTATTAGCACATCAAAAGTCAAGGAAACCAAAAAGTTATTATCAGGAGAGGGATAATGTTTAAGTGGTTAGCAGCAGGTTGCTAGTCGATGCCCCCCTCCATGACGCCACCACAGCTCAGCAGAACATCGTTGTGGCTTCTTCTGGGGAAAAAAAAACACTTAGAGAGAAAATAAAGTTAACAGCTGAAATTGCAGAAAATAGTACAGTTAAAGAGCAGACTGTAGAAGAAAGCAGTAGAGTGTGAAAAGTGGTCAGTGTATCCTCCAGCAGTCTAAGCCTATAGCAGCATAACTACAGAGATAACTCTGGATAATAAATCCTATTTAGATGGAGGCATGTTGGAGTCAGGGCAAGGGAGAGCCGTCTTTACCGACTGTATACTCCACCTCCCTGTACTCCCCCACTTGTCCATATTTAGGCTAACATCAGATTTTAACCATAGGCCCTAGCAAATAAAAATGTTTTATTCAATGTTTTATGCTCCATCACACGCGTCCAAGTACTCCACATCGAGGCTGGCAAGAAAGGGTATAAAAGAAGAAAAACTAATGACATGGCCTCCTTGTTCACCTGATCTAAACCCCATTGAGAACCCGTGGTCCATCATCAAATGTGAGATTTACAAGGAGGGAAACCAGGACACCTCTCTGAACAGTGTCTGGGAGGCTGTGGTTGCTGCTGCACGCAATGTTGATGGTGAACAGATCAAAACACTGACAGAATCCATGGATGGCAGGCTTTTGAGTATCCTTGCAAAGAAAGGTGGCTATATTGGTCGCTGATTTGTTTTTGTATTGTTTTTGAATGTCAGAAATGTATATTTGGGAATGTGGAGATGTTTTATTGGTTTCAGTGGTAAAAAATAAATAATTGAAATGGGTGTATATTTGTTTTTTGTTAAGTTGCCTAACAATTATGCACAGTAATAGTCACCTGCACACACAGATATCCCCTAAAATAGCTAAAACTAAAAACAAACTAAAAACTACTTCCAAAAACATTCAGCTTTGATATTAATGAGTTGTTTGGGTTCATTGAGAACATGGTTGTTGTTCAATAATAAAATTATTCCTCAAAAATACAACTTGCCTAATAATTCTGCACTCCCTGTATGTACCCACACACACGTTGAGGTCGGCTAACCTTTTGCCGCTGTGTACGCTGCGGATGCGATACAAATCGCGGGGTGAACGAGCATTTGTGTATGCTGCCCCAAAGCTGTGGAACTCGTTGCCCATTGGAGTTCGGCAGGCTCAATCACTGGCGGTTTTTAAATCTCGTTTAAAGACCCACTTTTACGATTTGGCTTTTAGACAGTGACTCGTTTTAGTGTTTTATTCTGTCATTGTTTTAATGTGTTCTTAGTATTCATCAAGTTTTATCTGCTTTTGACTGGTATTTTTATCTTCTGTTTTAGTTCCTTAGAATGGTCGCGTTTTGTTTTAGCCTGTGCAGCCCTTTGGGCAGCTCCCATGCTGCATTTTAAACATGCTTTATAAATAAACCACGGCATGGCATGGTATTTATTAAATTTGTCTGATAACTCTGCCATTGTTGGCTCATCACAAGTGAGACCGACTTGCAGGATTTTGTGGACAGTTGTCAGTAGGGTTGTCACGGTAACCGGTATAGCGGTAAAACCCGGTAAAAAAGTTGACAATAAAAATAACCGTCCAGTTTTTAAAAAAACTAAATTATCTCGGTGGGTTTACCGTGGCCGCGGTTTCAGCGCGGTGACCCTTACCAGCCACCGTCGCTTCAGCTGAAGTTCCCGCGGCGCGCACACGCACTTTTTAGTTTGCAACGGCACAAAAACTTTGAAGCTGAAATAATGGCGGAAGGAGGAGACGGCAGCGCCCAGGACATCCATCAGCCCTCAAAGAAGACTAAATGGGAAGTATGGGCATATTTTGGATTTCTGAAAAACGCTGAGGGACAGTTAACAGAAGACGGCTATCCCGTTTGCAGAACGTGCAGGAAACAAGTGTCTGCAAAAGGCAGCAACACTTCGAATCTAATGGCACATCTGCGTGACCATCACCCACGTCTCTACAGCCAGTGCAAGGTAAGTTAACATGAGCATTTTAGCTTAAATGCATGACGTGAGGACTTTTGGTTGAGGGAGAATGCAACGAGTCACTATAGACTGCAGCCACAGCGTCCTCTGCCAGCATTTAAACCGTGTCACGGACACCCTGTTGCTGGATGAAGCATCTTATTTGTTGATGATGAAGAGAAATATACAATTAGTTCCTTGTCATTGATTTGTTTACTTATTCATGCCATTTATACTTGAACATTTGGATTTGATTACACAGTGTAGTAGTTATTTTAGTAATTTGTTTAAAGTGGCTATTTATTTTAAATACATATTTTTTAAGGTTGACTTGTACAGTACTCAAGTCAAGTGTGGACTGGAGTTTTAGATTTTCATTTTGATAATGAAGAAAACAAGTATATGAGAAAACAAGTGGTGTTTCTTTGATTTGTTTACATATTGTTTATGTTTTGAATGTTTGGATTTGTATAATTTAAACCTGCACTGACTACTGTAACACATCCAGAAAAATAAGCTATTTGTTCCTTTACTTGTGAAAAGTTGCACTTTTGCTAAGGCTTTGTGTTATTTTAGGTTTAATAAACACTGTTAAACCTTTTCAGAACTATTTCAGTTTGTGTAGAACAGGACTATCAATGCTTTCTGAACATATGCAACACCGTTTAAAAAATACCGCGATAATACCGAAAACCGTGATAATTTTGGTCACATTAACCGTGAGGTTAAATTTTCATACCGTGACAACCCTAGTTGTCAGCAGAACCACCTCCAGATCAACATAGAAAAAAAAAAACTAAAGAACTGGTAGTGGTGAACATGAAGGGAACATACAAGAGATAGTCCACTCTTCTAAGTACCTGCATGTTGAACCAAACAACAAACTGGATCATAACTGGAGTCACAATCCTGATAATCTTTTCAAGAAGGGTCAGTGCAGACTCTACCTGCCAAGGAGAGTGAGATTAGTTGGAGTGCAGGGAGTGCTCCTAAGGACCTTTGTTGACTTTGGAGACATCACCCATCTTTAATGACGTGGTCTGTTGGGGCCACAGCATATCTATTCCTGAGAGGAAGAGATTGGATACAGCAAGAAGGCCAGCTCTGTGCGATGATGTTACCTCGATTGACTGCAGGAAATGGGAGACAGAAAGACTTACAAAAATAACGTTATTGTTAAACAATGCCTCTCACCCCATGCATGAAACTGTTGGGGAGCTATGAGTGTTTGTCAGCTGTTTCATACTCGTTAATATCTATTCACATAATGTAGCTTAGCACTTTATAGAGAGGGAGAGACGCCTGTCATTCTATTCAGGGCAAGCGTTTCTGAGCTGGTTCAGACCCAGAAACCAGCTTCTCTGGCCCCCTAGCAATTTTTAAAAGGTCAGCATCCTCCTTGACCTCTTTCCAACACTGTTTTCTATTCTGGTCTCCAGGAGTCCATGGGGGATTTTTAAATCTCTGCCATGAGGCTCTGGATGCCAGTGTGGACCTCCCTGACCTGTTCCGACGTTGATCTGGGCCTTAGGCACTCGCAGGTATTTTTTTTCAAAACTCCACCACAAGCCTCTGGAAGGTGGGAGATATGTTGAACTCTTGTCATCACATCACTGGGATTGTAATCCTCCAGTCTGAAGTGTGCTCCACAAATGACTGTCTTTTCAGCTGCCCACAACACACCAGGATCGGAAGATAGGTCTGTTCATTCTCTTATTTTGAAACCTGCGGACTTGATGCTCGGACCCGCTGGAGTTTGTACTCCAAAGTTTTCCTTTTCCTTCCACTGCCTGACTATAGGCCCAGTTGATCTCCCCTGTGGGATCGGGAGCTCCCCATCCCACAGCTCAACAATTGTAAAGCGGAACAAGGCCCATTCAGACTCAATGTCCCCCACTGCTCTCAGGACGTGGTCAAAGCTCTACCGGAGGTGGGAGTTTAAGACCATCTGGACAGGTTCATCTGCCAGGTGTTCCCAGCAGACCCTCACAATACGTTTGGGTCTACCAGGTCTGCGCAGCATATTCTCCCGCCATCTGATCCAGCTCACCACCAGGTGGTGATCAGTTGAAAGCTCCACTTGTCTCTTTACTCGAGTTTCCAAAACATGCGGTCGCATGCCAGACGATACACAACTACAAAGTCGAGCATTGACCTGTAACCTAGGCTGCCCTGGTACCAGGTATACTGATGGGCATCCTTATGTTTGAACATGGTATTTGTTATGGCCAAACTGTGACTTGCGCAGAAGTCCAATAACAGAACACCAGCATTTTATATTAAGTTAAAATAAAATTGAACTTGCTATTTGCTTTTTGCATATGTGTATGTTGTTCAATACACAGCTATTAATTCTTTATTCTTATACTTCTTCTTCACTCTCATGGATGTGATTGCTACTGGGACAAAAACATTTCCCTACTGAGGAACAATGTAGGGATATTCTAATCTCAATTTTCTTTTTTGTTTCATCATAATCATCATCGTCAACATCATCATCACTGGTGGGCCAAATGTAGCTCAGGCGCAATAATACACATTGTTATACACAACACTGACAAATCGTCACAGTCATGTTAATTTATTGGCAGACATTTTCATTAACAAAATTTCCAACTTTAACAGCAGTTTGCTATTCAGTGAAGTTGGATAATAAGGATTGCTGTGGCCAGAGGGATAACGTTAAACACTTTGCTGAAAGGCAGCACCCAGGTTTTGATTCTGTAAACTTGTAAAATTGGTACTTAACGTAAAAACATGTTTTAAATTATTATTTCTGATTCTAATCTGTCCCTCTGAGTTTAACATGCAGGCTGAACCTGAAAATAGTCTCCAACCCTAATTTCCTGCATTACCTTCTGATAGAAAATAGACAGTGAAAATCTAGGATTGAAAAGAATGACAGATCTACATCAAACTGTCACTTAACAATCATGGGCTCATTCATATTGACTCACGACAGAGAAAGCTGGTTGGTTTAGGGTCAAGGAAACCGCAAAGAACATCTTGACTAGTAGAAGCTAACTGTTAGCATTAGCAAATCCACAGCATGGCAGAACTCTTGTAGGCTTGTATTATTTCTGGAGATAAACATCAACATTGCAACACAGTCAGTGGTAGAGTTGCATTGGTGTTAGCCAATCAGATGCAAAGTACACTAATATCAAGGAGTCAAACTCCTGCTGTGTTCAGCTCATCTCTGATGTGTCCATGACACGCTGCTTTTATGTCTGGTAGAAAAAAGGGTGACCCTTGAATTTGAACCTAAAGGTTTGATTAAATAATTTTAAGCAACAAATATTAGCAGTTTCTTCCTACAGTTTCTCTTGGCTGATATCTTGCTAATGTTGTTTAAAAAATTATTTTTCATTTAGTTTTTGTTCATTAAACACTTCTTAGAGTTCTTCTCAGGCTGAAATAAGATGATGAAACACTTTGGAGCAAATATACACAGAATCAGTCCAAAACTGGAGGCCAGAATAGCAAATATCTCCACAGCTACAGTAAATTTTCCAGGAGAGCTGACATATGCTGGGATGAAGGTGAGCCACACTGCACAGAATATCAGCATGCTGAAGGTTATCAGCTTGGCTTCATTAAAATTATCAGGTAGTTTCCGAGCTAGAACAGCTAACACAAAGCAGAAAACAGCCAGCAGGCCAATGTACCCGAGCACAGCCCAGAACCCAACAGCAGAACCTAATGCACATTCCAGGATGATCTTCTCCTTGTATGTGCTCAGATTCTTCATTGGGAATGGAGGGCTGAGTAACAACCACACAGTACAGATTATGATTTGAATAAATGTGAAAAACACAACAGTCATTCTTTGCTGTGGAGGCCCAAACCATTTCATGACATTACTACCTGGAAGTGTAGCTTTAAAGGCCATTAAAACCACTACAGTTTTCCCAAGAACACAGGAGATACAGAGAACAAAGGTGATACCAAACGCTGTGTGTCGCAGCATGCAGGACCAATCAGAGGGAGCTCCGATGAAAGTTAATGAACATAAGAAACACAGAGTCAGAGAGAAGAGCAGCAGGAAGCTCAGCTCAGAGTTGTTGGCTCTGACAATTGGAGTTGTTCTGTGATGAAAGAAAATAGCTGCTGTTATGATGGCCAGACAGGCCCCACTAACAGAGAATGCAGCCAGGATGATTGCCAGGACTTCATCATAGGAAAGAAACTCCACAGGTTTGGGGAAACAAGCGTCTCTTTGTGCATTAGGCCACGATTCACTGGGACACGGGAAACAGTCTGGAGAATCTGAAAGGAAAATAATTTTAGAGATAAATTAACTCAGAGACCAACAAAAAGGCAATTACCAAAAACATTCTATTTCACCTGTCGTGTTACTAATCTCTCCTTCAGGACATGGTATACAATCATAGCAGCAGATGGGTTTTCCTTTCTGTAATATTTTATGGGTTCCTGGTAGACATCTCTTGGAGCACAATGATACCGGTACCTGTGTACATACAGGAAGCCTTACAACTAGAAACATGAACAGTGTGCACACTAATAAGTCTGATCTGCTATTTTAGAATTATTGAAATTTCTGATAACTAACTTGTGTACTTCTCTCCACCCAGGATATATTCGTGTTGATGTGAAACTGCTGGCCTTTTGGCCGTGATGCATCATAGTACCCTACTGTTACCAGCTCGATATTTCCATTGTCACTTTTCTGCCAATTGATCAGCTCATAAAAAGCTACAGGATCTCCATTTGAATCGAAGGACACAGGATAACCATTACGAGAAAAGTTGACTTTTTGTAGTTCAGTTAAAATCTGTAAGGGAACATAAATAAATAAATAAATAAAACATTTTAATTGAAATAATTGTTTGAGGATTTGATTGTTTTAAAAAATTATTGTTATTTTTTATTTATCAAACTAACCTGTTTGGACTCCAATGTGATATTTGGCTCACACTTAGTGGTGGAATTCTTATCGTGACACACTGCCTTGTGAATCGCATGAACAATTGCATAAACAGCCTTGTACACCATGTTAGTAGCTCTCAGCTGAGATGTATCAGTGTACGGGTTCTTGAGCTTTCTGATGTCTTCAGTGCCATCACACAGTCGTTTGGCCGAGTCCATTTCTTGAAACACATCACAGCATTTCTTTTAAGTTTCGTCAGTCAGAATTTTATTATTCTTATATGTCCACATGAACCTAAAGCGGACGTATTATGCAAAACTATTTTCTTCATCACTTTTATGCTGTCATGTGGGGAGATTTGTCAACACTGGAGGAGCAGTGGCTCTATTCCAAGCCCCTCTCTTAGATATTGAAGCATCTCAACTTATGGCAGCCATGGCAGGTGTTGGTGGATAGGTGAGGCCAGCAACCGCTTGCGTCCCTTAATGCAGTGCTTTAATTGGGCCGTACGCACCAGGACCATACCAGTAATTTTGCTGTCAATTCATCAGCGGAAATCTCAGAAATTGTTGGAAAAAAAAATCCATGCACTTACCTATAAACGACAGCTGTCCACCAACACCCCCCCCCCCCCCCCCCCCACACACACACACACACACACACACACACCACCACCACCTGCCCAATAAGGTTAATTGAAGTTCCCTTTATTGTTTTTAGTCAACAGTTCATTATTATTATCAATATTAATATTGTTATTAGATGATCCATTGTGGTTTAAGATTAGCAGTTTGTGTCCACATCATATTTATATATATAAAAAATCCATTTAAACATCTGGTACAAAGACTGAGTTTTTTTTTTTGTTCAAGTGCACACTTTTTAAGAGAAAAATAATTCTCCATGTTCTTGTGTAAAGCCTAACCTTTAGTCAGAGTGCATTGGAATGCATCTTCCCAGAACTCTGTCAGCACTGGGGAGGAGACAACCTCACTGGGGGAAAGATCCAGTAAAAACTCCCTCAGACCTGGGATAACAGCTTTAGGAATAGTAACTCCAATGGCTCCTGCACAGAAACTGTAGCCCAGCAGTTGTTGGTCAGTTATCCATCCCTCAGTTCCTATCCACTGATGAGGAGGTGGGGGTTCTCGTGCCAGCTCCTCTAACAGAACAGGTGTGTCTCCTGCAGCTGTAAATGCTACAACAACCATTGCTGTTGACCTGCGAACACATTTATTTATATACACAATGCAAGTTATTCTAAAGCAGTCTTTAACAGCTTAAGTTTTCATTTAAATTGATCTGCACTGATCCATTCTATTTTTGAACTGAAAAAATCTGAACAATTTATTGCTTTTTGGAAACGTCTGCAAATGATGTCACAGAAGTTAGTGCTGTAAGAATCATAAAATTATTAAATAAGGCAAAAAGTCACAAAATGTTGTTGCATTTGTGTTTGAATGGCTCTCCATTAGACCTTTCTCCTGCTGCATGGTCCTCTGTTCTCCTTACCAGATGCTGCTGTAGTTTCCCTAAAAGCAGCATAATGTTTACTGATGTCCCACTAAAAAGGTTCACTCAGGTTTTACTATTTCTTCTTAGTATTTATATTAATAAAGAACTTTTAAGTGAATACTGATAAATTCCTGAGTTTTAATCTACTGCCTGGAGAGTTTTTAGTTTTTAAAACAGATTTCAGGCCATTTACCATTTTACAATGAACTGCAATGAAATGCTATTGTCATTAGTTCTCTAATGTTTTTGAGGAGCATGTAAAGTATTATTATTTTAAAGCCTTTCCATAAAACGCCACTTCTACAATACCTATTAACCCATTTCAGAATAAAACAGTTTGAATGTAAAACGTACATATTAAGCTGTTTCACTAATTCAAAAACAAATAAATAATAGTGCTGTACAAACCTGCGGATGACATCAGCTACTCTCTGGATCTTGCTCTGTGGGTCGGTTCGAAAGAAGGACACAATGTACTCCACACAGATCCCCTCTTTCTTTGCTGCAGCAAGAAACGATGCCATCCCATAATTTCCATAGTCTGAATCTGAGTGGACAGCACCTATCCAAGTCCAGCCAAAGTGTTTCACCAGCTTGGCCAGTGCGTCCGATTGATACTGGTCACTGGGAACTGTTCTGAAAAACGTTGGGAACTGCTTCTTATCTGACAGGCAGGCACATGTGGCAAAGTGGCTGACCTGAAGTCAGGGACAATAAATGTTTTCTTACATTAGAAATAAGCATTTAAAACATCAATGGTGTGCTTTTTTTTAATGCATTTCTTATATTCCATTTTGAAATGAATTTAAAACACTTACCTGAGGGATGTTGAAGGACCCAATGATGCGTGACATGATGATGGATGGTGTGGATTCAGAGGCTCCAACAACAGCCGTCACTGCACCATTCTGAGAACAATCGCTGTCTTTGTAAAACACAGGATCCTGACGATTCAACAGTTCAAATGCTACTTGAGTTGCCACAAGTACTGAAGCACAGTTATCATAGATCTGGTATCCAACGTTAATGCCTGGCAGCAGCTCTGTGCTGTTGTTTATCTCCTCAATGGCAAAAATCATCGCACGAGAAAAACGCAGGTCCCGACCGTTAAAGCTGCACAGAATCAGGAGAGTGAAATTTTAGTTTCACTAGATAAGGACTGAAACTGAGCATATTAACATTCAGACAGAGAGTGAATGATAAAACAATGTCAAAATCAAATAACATTTTTTAAATGTGGTTTCTATATTTGCTTATATATTTTAACACAAGTCTGAAATATTACAAAATTCAGCAAATTATAAAATATTACGTGCAAAATTACATTTTCAGATGCCATACCATACAAATTGACATGTTCAGATCATATAACATTCTGTAGCAAATCACATTATTTCCATTATCTGTTAGTCTTTCTGTTTTCTTTCGCTGGCTCACCAACCTTCCTTTGCACATCAGAGAATCAGGTTTGGTTGTGTAGTTGTAAAGCGCTGTTTGCATTGTGTTGTGTATTAGGAAAGCACCACCAATAACAAAGTCACCATCCTTTGAGAATGCAGGTAAACGAGGTGTACCCTGCAAAGTACATTTCATTGTTGAAGCCTTGGCACTGAAACTGTCTTGAGTTAGAGTCTCAATGATTCCTTTCTGACCATCCAGCAGAATGCAAAAGACAGCAACGGACAGTGGATCCAAGGAAATCCCTACTACACTCAAACTAATAAAAAGTGTCCAAATCTCCATTCCTCGCGTGAATGTTTGTGGGTGCAAGTGTGTTGTAACTAGTTTATAAAGCTTCCTTTGTGCATGACGTTGTGGTTCAACACAAAACACCATCAGGAATCTTTGGTTATGCCTTTTATGACCCTAATCCTCTCCAATCATAACTCCAAACCACATGTCCTCTGGGTCCTCAATGGAAAGAAAGGAAAGACACATGATGATTCACTTCCAGGAATCCAAACTGTATCCAAGTGTATTTAAGACCTAAGTTTTATGACCTTGCATTTCCTCACCCATAAAAATGTTCTTACTATTTGTTTACATTGTTGACTGTGTTTAAATGTGCTTTATAAATAAATTTGGTACAGTATGATATGGATTCCACCTCCTTCAATCCACTGACAAGGCTCTGGTTACAATAACCATGGGTCTATTGTATCTCTTTGACCACACACAGATAATTTAGCTGTTGGACATGATTAGGCTAAAAAAAGACGCCTTTTGAGCAAAGTAGAAAATATTTAAAAGATGAAAATGATTTTTTCCCCCACACATTTATTCCTGAATGCAAATTATGATTACAAAAAAATAAGTCAACAGAGGGAAGCAGTTTAACATTTTAGAGCACTGATTACATTTTGGATTTTTTTTTAAATGTTGTTTTTATTACATTTAGTTCTTGTTCATCAAAGATTTCTTAGAGTTCTTCTCAGGCTGAAATAAGATGATGAAACACTTTGGAGCAAATATACACAGAATCAGTCCAAAACTGGAGGCCAGAATAGCAAATATCTCCACAGCTACAGTCAATTTTCCAGGAGAGCTGACATATGCTGGGATGAAGGTGAGCCACACTGCACAGAATATCAGCATGCTGAAGGTTATCAGCTTGGCTTCATTAAAATTATCAGGTAGTTTCCGAGCTAGAACAGCTAACACAAAGCAGAAAACAGCCAGCAGGCCAATGTACCCGAGCACAGCCCAGAACCCAACAGCAGAACCTAATGCACATTCCAGGATGATCTTCTCCTTGTATGTGCTCAGATTCTTCATTGGGAATGGAGGGCTGAGTAACAGCCACACAGTACAGATTATAATTTGAATAAATGTGAAAAACACAACAGTCATTCTTTGCTGTGGAGGCCCAAACCATTTCATGGCATTACTACCTGGAAGTGTAGCTTTAAAGGCCATTAAAACCACTACAGTTTTGCCAAGAACACAGGAGATACAGAGAACAAAGGTGATACCAAACGCTGTGTGTCGCAGCATGCAGGACCAATCAGAGGGAGCTCCGATGAAAGTTAATGAACATAAGAAACACAGAGTCAGAGAGAAGAGCAGCAGGAAGCTCAGCTCAGAGTTGTTGGCTCTGACAATTGGAGTTGTTCTGTGATGAAAGAAAATAGCTGCTGTTATGATGGCCAGACAGGCCCCACTAACAGAGAATGCAGCCAGGATGATTGCCAGGACTTCATCATAGGAAAGAAACTCCACAGGTTTGGGGAAACAAGCGTCTCTTTGTGCATTAGGCCACAATTCACTGGGACACGGGGAACAGTCTGGAGAATCTGAAAGAAAAATCAAATGGAATTTGGAATAAGTCAAATTTTGATTGAAGTAATTATATATTGGTTTACCTGTTGTGTTACTAATCTCTCCTTCAGGACATGGTATACAATCATAGCAACATACTGGTTTTCCTTTCTGCAGCATTTTGCGTGTCCCAGGGGTACAACTCTCTGAACACACTGATGCTGGCAGCTGTTAAAGAGTAACAGGAAGTCTGCATAATAATACATTTTAAAAAGGAAAAGCATTGCTAAGATACCAACATTTGTCTCATTACCTGTGAGCTGCCATCAAACCAGGTTATATCCCTAATTATACGGAACTCCCGTCCTTTAGGCAGTGATGCATCATAGTACCCTACTGTTACCAGCTCAATAACTCCACTCTCTCTCTTCTGCCAGTTGACCAGCTCATAAAAAGCTACAGGATCTCCATTAGCATCGAAAGACACGGGATATCCATTGTGGGTAAAGCTTACTTTCTTTAGTTCAGTTAAAACCTGTGTGGCACAAATAAAGTGATTGGGAGGTGAAAAAAAACTATATTATAAATCTATGTTATTTTTAAGCTTTAATGACCCTAAAAATATAACACTTCTTTTTTCTGAACTTACCGTTTTTGACTCCAGTTTGTTGTGTTTGTCACACTTAATCGTGAGATTGGTTTTGTGACACACTGCATTGTGAATAGCATGAGCTATTGCATAGACAGCCTTGTACACCATGTTTGTAACTCTTAATTGAGATGTGTCAGTGTACGGGTTCTTGAGTTTTCTTACATCTTCAGTTCCATCACACACTCTTTTACTTGAGACAGCATCTGTAAACACATCAAAATCCAGTCCAGGGAGTGACCTGGGGTAGCACATGCAACCCATGGAATGACTGGCCACCCCAAGTACCACCCACTGAATTTACATTGTCCACAAAAGGCTTGGGATTATAAAACTCCAAAGGAGTAGGAGGCAATATGATCCTTTACCACTGGTTTCTATCCCGGCAAGCATACCATTTGTCTATTATCATTATTATTATTATTTTATATTGACATAAGTAGCATTTAGAGTCCTGGTCGCAGTCCCACTCCATCCTGGTGGCACTAATGCACCAAAAAGTACCTTGCTAACCACTAAAACAGCTTAAAGAAGAAGAAGAGAGAAAAAATGGTCATGACCTAATTTGAAACTCACAAATTAAAGCAGAACCACTGATGCCACCCATGTAGTGCCCCAACTGAATGACCTAATTTAAAAAGAGCTGGAAACGCCACTGCTGTTAAATACCATGTTAACATCATTGTTTTTATTTCCACACCGAAAAGTTTTCTCGTTTCCATCAACAGGTTGGTTATGACAATTAAAACAAATGGCTTGGTGTTTGAGAAAAGCAGCTTGCATCTATGTTATTTTTGTTTTTACCACACACACGTTTCAAATTTCCCATAAAAATAATAGCTGTTATCCATATTCTCATGTTAAGTCTCTCACCTTTTATTAATGTACATTGGAATGCATCTTCCCAGAATTCAGAAAGCACTGGGGAGGAGGCTACCTCACTGGGGGAAAGATCCAGTAAAAACTCTCTCAGTCCCGGAATGACTGACTTTGGAATAGCAACTCCAAAGGCTCCTGCACAGAAACTGTAGCCCATGAGTTGTTGGTCAGTTATCCAGCCCTCAGTTCCTATCCACTGATGCGGTGGCGGAGGATCTCGAGCCAACTCCTCTAATAGAACAGGCGTATCTCCAGGGGCTGTATATGCTACTACAACCATTGCTGTTGACCTGTACAGACAACAATTGAAATACACAATGCAGTTGTAAAATGAAGAAGTATTGGTATTACTGTTTTAACCTATGCTTCCTTTTATGTTTTCACATTTTATGTAACAAATGGAGTCATGCAGATATTTGACATTTGAGATTTAATCATTTTAAAGATTTTGGAAAAAAAAATATCAAAAGTTTCTTGCACTGATCCAAATAGAAATTTAAGATTAGGAACTTCAAGATTATTTGACTTGTATCAGTTAAGGGAGTGCTACCCTCTATGTTGTCCTAGTGTCCGTTAGTCAAAGCAAAAGTGAAGCTTATCTCCTCGCTGTGCGTTCGTCTTTTTAAAACTTTATTTTCTAACTACTGAAATGTCTCCCCAGTCTTCATTAGTTTCTACAGGAGTGATTAACCACTAAACCAAACAAATCAGCTGTGTTCATGATTTAAAACATGCAGGAAACTACAGCGCTGGCATGTCAGCTCCACTTTTACTAAATCAAACAGGAACCGAATCGGCACTCTGAAGTTGCAAATGCAATAATCTGGCCAGAGGGTGGTGAGGGTATTAGTTCATTACCCCTGCAAAAGCTAGTTTTAGCACATACTGGCTCAACAAAATGATAAAAATATATGAAAGAACATGGAAACAGCACTAATTTTGCCAAATTGTGTTTCGATTAATATTTATCTGCACTTGTATAAATAGATACTTTTACTGATAAAATTGGCTCCAGCTATGACTTTTATGGAACATTTGAACATTTTTTTTCTTCTTCTTTAAGTTAGTGTTATAAAATATCAGTAAGTCAATTTAAATTGTTGGTAAATTGTTGGAAGCACGTTGAGATAAGTGTTGTACAAACAACCAATACACAACCCTTGTTGACATCATTTTAACGGAGGTTCTGTAAAAAGACTTTAAACAATTAAAATTATAGCTCTTTAAAAGACCAAAATTCAAAGAATAGAATAGTTCTGACTGGACAGATTAGTTGGTCCGTGTAGATCCTATTACAGTGTGTTTGGGCTGTCTTGTCATTCTATCAAAAGTTATTGAAGTTTATACAGAAAAAAAAACCTAAAAAATATAAATTATATAAAAGTTGCTGTGTGGATGAACTACAATGAAATGTCTTAAATTTTAAATATTTAAAAAGTGTTCAGCTGACTCTTGCCACCCATTGTTTGTTCATCTTTTCAGTTAGATCCACTTTTTTCTACAACAATTTTTTTTAAATGCTATTTAAAGAATTAATGAAAATGTGGGTACAATAATAATATTTTATAGCCATTCCCGAGAATGCCACTTAAAAAATATTGTCTCTTTCTTACCTTGTTTCAAAATAACATTTTGAATATAAAGTTTTGCCTCAAAAATATTTAAGCCATTTCTTTATCAATTTGAGTCATAATAAAAATTATTCATGGAAAAACCTGCGGATGACATCAGCAACCCTCTGGATCTTGCTACGTGGGTCGGTTCGAAAGAAGGACACAGAATATTCCACACAGATTCCCTCTCTCTGCGCTGCAGCAAGAAACGATGCCATCCCATAATTTCCATAGTCTGAGTCTGAGTGGACAGCACCTATCCAAGTCCAGCCAAAGTGTTTCACCAGCTTGGCCAGTGCATCAGCCTGGAACTGGTCACTGGGAATTGTTCGGAAAAACGTTGGGAACTGCTGCTTGTTTGACAAACAGATGCAAGTAGCAAAGTGGCTGACCTAAAGTGAGGGGGAGAAGAGAATAACAGTCAGCATCTATGTCAGTGTTGATTTTATTTCATTTAGTTTTTTCTGTTTGAATTAAATTTAGAATTCTTACCAAGGGGATGTTTAAGGCCCCAATGATGCGTGACATGATGATAGATGGTGTGGATTCAGAGGATCCGATGACAGCCGTCACTGCACCATTCTGGGAACAATTGCTGTCTTTGTAAAACACAGGATCCTGACGATTTAACAGTTCAAATGCTACTTGAGTTGCCACAAGTACTGAAGCACAGTTATCATAGATCTGGTATCCAACATTAATGCCTGGCAGCAGCTCTGTGCTGTTGTTTATCTCCTCAATGGCAAAAATCATCGCACGAGAAAAACGCAGGTCCCGACCGTTAAAGCTGCACAGAATCAGGAAAGCTGATATTTAGTTGTTGTTTTTTTTAAATGAGGTGGGAAAAAAACAAAATAAAAACAAAAGAGTTCAACAACAAACCAGAAACACTAAGAGACAGGGCAAACAGAAAAATAAACCCAAGTCAAATGACATTTATGCTTCTCAATATTCAGTTGCTAAATCTGATTTAATTCATGCATTTTATCACAGGTATGGATTCAGTAAAAGTCCTATTAATATATATTTATACATATTTGTTGCTCACAACTTTGCAGCAAATGTAAATCACATCACTTTCACTTATGTACAACATCAGTTTGTTTCCTTTCTCTGGTTGACTAACCTTCCTGTGCACATCAGAGTATCAGGTTTGGTTGTGTAGCTGTAAGTCACAGTTTGCATTGAGTAATGAATGAAAAAAGCACCTCCGATAACAAAGTCACCTTCCTTTGAGAATGCAGGTGAACGAGGTGTACCCTGCAAAGTACATTTCATTAATGAAGCCTCCGTGCTAACACCAATACCAGTCAGAGTCTCTATTGGTTCGGTGGTGTCTCTCTGATCATCCAGCAAAACACCAAAGACAACAACCGACATCAGATCCAGGGAAATCCCTACTGCACTCAAACCAATAAACAGAGTCTGAATCTCCATTCCTTGTGTGAATGTGTGTGGGTGTAAACGTGTTCAAACTGGCTTATAAACTTCTATTGTGCATCAGGTGGATGAACAAACACAATCAACCCTCGACCAGCAAACTTTGGCTACGCCTTTTATGACGCAGCATGCACAATATGCTGCGTGTGTCCTCTGAGCTTTGAGAATATTCTCATTGTCTATATTTGTTATGCCATTTTCATAATTCACCTTTATGAAAGAATCATAAGTTTAAATTTTCCTTTACATTTTAAATTAGACATCGTCTCTGTTCATGGTCTGATGTGGGACCATGAACAGAGACGATGGGGTTTACACATTGGATCGTGCATGCGACTGCATCATCGGAGAGGGGAGAGCGGGCAGCAGAGGGCGACAACCTTATCTGTGTTTCAAAAAAGAACCAAAAATGAAATTAGACAACTCTTTTATACAGTTCATCAGCAAATAAAAACTGAAAAGGGGGTGACTTGCCTTTTGAACGCTAATTAAGAAGGGCAGCAATGGCTTGAGAGGTATAGAGCGTTGTCCAGAAACTGGAGGTTTGCTTTTTTGATCCTAGCTCATTCGTAGCCTTTGTCATTGTCTGTAAGTAAGACATTTCACCCGGCTTTGTGGCCTTACGAACACCACCAGCAGGCAAGGTTGGTTAAGTGTCTTGCCCAAGGACACAATGGCAGCAAAAGACTGAGTGAGGCTCGACCCTGCAACCTTCCGGTTACGGGGGAGCACTTAACTCCTGTGCCACCATCGCCCACATGTCCCACAGGTACTTTCAGTTAATCATATAATTATAATTAATGTAAAATAATTTATTTTGTATCTAGAGGAGGATCATATCCTATCATCCACAATATTACCAGCAATTATTACTTTTCTGGAGAAAAAAAATCTACCATGTTAAGCTAAATTCATTAAGTATCCTCATCTCATGCATTCTCTTGTCAGGATTACACTCCCTATTACACTCCCTATTTGTCCCTCACTACTCTCCGTAGCTGTTTCTTGCTTGTGGGGGGCATAAACAACTCTCCGGTTGGCAGCCACAGTGAAAAAGCTCGCTAAAACACACAAAAGTCTCAAAGTAATAAAAGTTACAAAGTTAAATGCAAAGTTTAGAGCAGAACATTGACCCAGAGGTTCCCTGATTGAGCAGACGCATGAGAATACACTTACTGACCGCCAGCGCCGGCGCTCCGCACACGCACACCACGCATAGCGCGTAGGGCACCACGCCGGGGGAGCGGCACCAAACGCAAGCTTATGAAAAAATAATATATATATGATAAAGACAGATTTCAATTAGAAGATGTGCAAAGCAAGTTAACAGCATGTTTATAGAGAGAAAACAATACAAAAAGTAAAGGAGATGGACCGTGTCCACTTTTCACTCTGTCCGGGCGTCCGGACTGGGGGTTCTTGTATTGATGAAAATGTCCGGTTTTTCATCCAGGAGCAGGGATCGAATTATGGGGGAGCTGTATATCCTACACATCCAGGGGAGCCGGAAAAAAGTGTTCTACCGATATTACATCATTTATGGACTCTTTTGAGCATAGAGCACTGACAGCAGCACAGCGCGTTATTGCGCAGCGCTCCAGGCAGCTGCGTCCAGCGCACTGTCCATTCTCAAAGTGGCGCAACCAAAAAACTATAATTAACCCATGATCGTTCATGTCCGCTCATGTTCTCAACTTTCTGTCTTATTTGTGCCTGTAGCGCTCTGCTACTGCGGACCTCATGACCTGTGCTGCGGAGATTTCACCTCACTGACGCAGCATCGAAACGCGCTCTCCGCTTTGCGGTCAGGAGATCCCTTTGATCTGCTCAGAAGTAACTGATGAGGTGAAAAAGTAAGAATCCAGGCAGCAGATTTTCTGGAGAGTTTAGAGGAGATGCAGGAAGATGAGAGACAGACAGGACAGGAAAATAGTTCAATAAAAACAAGAAAACAAAGTAAAATGTAGGTAGATTTATCTCCACTACATGTTTTCACCTGTATAAAACAATAAATTATACACATGTAATAATCATACATCTGATACAATTCAGATCACCTTCAAAACTCAGTCACACAGCCAGGGCCGTTTCAAGGCATTTTGGGGGCCAAGGCTAAATGACCCCCCCCCCCCCACACACACACACACACACAGACACACCACCACCACCACCACCCACCACCCCAAAACTGGGCTCCCCAGAAGCCTCTGTGTAATTCATACCCTCTCCAGGAGTATTAGTTAAACAGTGTTTGTAAAAGCCCCTCAGACATCACTGACATGTTCTAATATTATCAGATGAAAGAAGACTTTGTGCTTAGGGCACCAAAATAGCTAGCAACGGCCCTGCTGACCGCTTAGAGACGGAGCAAGCTAGTGGCTAATGCTAGCAGCTAGCCGCTATAATCCAGTATGGTGTGCTTCTTCAGTGGTTCACAATTGTTGATGTCCACATCTTATTGCATCAATTGTTAGATTATTTTCCTCAGCTCTACCGAGCACCCCAGCTAAAAAAACCAACACACTGCTTTAAACTCGCTCTCTGTGTGTCTGTGGTGCTGACAGTTGCAGACTAGTAAATAGAATTAAAAAAACCTCAAGAGTTTGAAAGTTGTTTACCAAAAAAAATATATATATATATATATATATATATATATATATATATATATATATGTATATGTATATATATATATATATATATATATATATGTATATGTATATATATATATATATATATATATATATATATATGTATATCTATATATAGATAGATAGATATATATCTATATATAGATATATATATATCTATATATAGATAGATAGATAGATAGATAGATAGATAGATAGATAGATAGATAGATAGATAAATCAAGAGCAGACAGCTTTCATGGACTAACACACAATCTCACCAACTCACTAATTAGATCCTGAATAAAGAGGCAAGGCAAGCAAATTTATTTGTTTATTACATTTCATAAGCGGTAATTCAATGTGCTGTCCAGTAGCAAGAATAGCACGGACATTAAAATCAACATGACATCATAATTAAGATGCACAAATACGTTAAGATCAAATTAAACACACAAATGAATTTCATATTTAAGAATCAGATGAAAATCTAAGTTAAAGGGTGAGCAGTTACAGTGCAGAAGGTGCAGCGTAAGAGGCCTCCTTCATCCTGGAAGTTCTAACTAAACGTGTCCATCTCCAGCAGACGGATGTGTTTGGTAATCTTGGGCTAAACAAAAAGCAGCAGAAATGCAGTGAATTTCCTTTCTTACCTCACGTTTCATACAATGCATTATTCATTATCCATTGCTTAGCATGCAGGTTGTGATCAAATAAGAAATTTCATCACACATGACAAAAGTTTTCACTTCAATTTTAGTGGAATTTATTCAATTTGTCTTCAATGCAAATGTTCACATTTGCATTGAAGACACTCCTGCAGGAGTTGATAAAAAAATCCAGTTGCCACAACTGACACATTAGTTTTTATGAACTTAAAAACAAACAACAGAACAAAACATTTAATCTTTTTTTTTATATAGGTTATAAGACAAAGCAAAGATAAGTCAATTTGATTACAAAAAGCTGTTATCAATTTTTGCATAGGAACACTTCACATTAGCGTTTTTCTTTTCGTTTTGTTTGTGATTTTTCAGGTCAATTGCATTCCAGATTAAATTTCTGTTTGTGAGCAGGTTTATAACAAAATGCAGATATTTAATAATTGTATTGACAAATTTCAACGGTGTCAAAAACGATGAAGGGGTATTCGTGTTTCCATCTTAATTTCCAATCTCTGATCCTTTATTTTTATGTTTGTCCAGTAAAAACTTCTTAGAGTTCTTCTCAGGCTGAAATAAGATGAAGAAACACTTTGGAGCAAATATACACAGAATCAGTCCAAAACTGGAGGCCAGAATAGCAAATATCTCCACAGCTACAGTCAATTTTCCAGGAGAGCTGACATATGCTGGGATGAAGGTGAGCCACACTGCACAGAATATCAGCATGCTGAAGGTTATCAGCTTGGCTTCATTAAAATTATCAGGTAGTTTCCGAGCTAGAACAGCTAACACAAAGCAGAAAACAGCCAGCAGGCCAATGTACCCGAGCACAGCCCAGAACCCAACAGCAGAACCTAATGCACATTCCAGGATGATCTTCTCCTTGTATGTGCTCAGATTCTTCATTGGGAATGGAGGGCTGAGTAACAGCCACACAGTACAGATTACTACCTGTATGAATGTAAATAGCACTACAGTCATTCTTTGTTGTGGAGGCCCAAACCATTTCATGACATTACTACCTGGAAGTGTAGCTTTAAAGGCCATTAAAACCACTACAGTCTTCCCAAGAACACAGGAGATACAGAGAACAAAGGTGATACCAAACGCTGTGTATCGCAGCATGCAGGACCAATCAGAGGGAGCTCCGATGAAAGTTAATGAACATAAGAAACACAGAGTCAGAGAGAAGAGCAGCAGGAAGCTCAGCTCAGAGTTGTTGGCTCTGACAATTGGAGTTGTTCTGTGATGAAAGAAAATAGCTGTTGTTATGATGGCCAGACAGGCCCCACTAACAGAGAATGCAGCCAGGATGATTGCCAGGACTTCATCATAGGAAAGAAACTCCACAGGTTTGGGGAAACAAGCGTCTCTTTGTGCATTAGGCCACAATTCACTGGGACACGGTAAACAGTCTGGGGAATCTGAAAGGAAAATAATTTTAGAGATAAATTAACTCTGAGACCAACAAAAATGCAATTACCAAAAACATTCTATTTCACCTGTCATGTTACTAATCTCTCCTTCAGGACATGGTATACAATCATAGCAGCAGATGGGTTTTCCTTTCTGTAATATTTTATGGGTTCCTGGTAGACATCTCTTGGAGCACAATGATACTGGTACCTGTTCACATACAGGAAGCATTGCAACTCAATATTTCTTAAATGGAAGATGAGACTAGTTCACAAACTCTTAATTTTTCCTAATTATTGATAACTTACTTGTGTGTTGCTCTCCACCCATGATATATTCCTGTTGATATGAAACTCCTGGCCTTTAGGCAGTGATGCATCATAGTACCCTACTGTTACCAGCTCAATAACTCCACGCTCACTCTTTTGCCAGTTGACCAGCTCATAAAAAGCTACTGGATCTCCATTAGCATCAAATGACACAGGATAACCATTGCGAGAAAATTTTACCTTCTTTATTTCAGTTAAAACCTGGAAGGTACAAGGGAGGCACAAGAGGAAAATCAAACCACTCTGTGTGTGTTTCTTTAGGGTACATGAGTGCCCCTCCCTGTGCTGCCACCTTACTGTGGTGGAGGGGTTTGAGTGTCACAATGATCCTAGGAGCTAAGTTGTCTGAGGGTTTATGCCTCTGGTAGAGTAACAGAAAACAGGGTGGGGAGAGGGACGTCTGGACCTCTCGACTTAGGCTGATGCCCCCGCGACCCGACTCCGGAGAAGTGGGAAAAAATGGATGGAGTGTTTGAGAAAAAAAACATGTGAAAATCACTTTAATCTGGTCTTACCTGTTTAGGCTCCAATCTGATGTTTTTTTCACATTCAGTGGTGAAATTTGTTTTTTGACAGATTGCATTATGAATGGCATGAGCTATTGCATAAACAGCCTTATACACCATGTTAGTGACTCTTAATTGAGTTGTATCAGTATATGGACTCTGGAGAGTATCCATGTCTTGAGTTCCATCACATGCTCTCTTCTCTGGATCAGCACCTAAAACCAATTAATAAGCACAAACCTGATTTTAATAATAAAAAATATATTTAATTCAGGCTATCTCCTCAAAGGCAGCAGGGAGTTTGGCTGTGGTGTGTCTTACGACGAAGGGTGGACCCCACAGTCTCAAACCTGAAGCTCACACAGAATTGTCAGAAACTGCAGTTCCACCCTCATCCGCTAGGGGCTGGCACCAGAAGTGAGCAGATCCTCGTTGACTTCCAATGTTTCACAACAGAAAAAAAAAAAAAAAAAAACATGTTTGCAGCCTGGTTCAAAAAAACATTTTAGGTTTAATGGATTTAGTTTCAGATATGACAACTCTGAGGGTGGTGAATTGTTTTGCAACTTTTCTGTTTTGGTGTAAATAAGTACTTGAATTATGAATAAATAGATTTGATTGACAGGTAGCAGGAGCATCAGAGCTTGCATCAGCAGTTAACTTTGGGGAAGGCCTGAGCCTCGGACTCATATTAATAGATGATGGACATTTCCACTCTCTGAACTTTAGTTGTGTCCTCTGTGTGTTCGTGTTTGGATGCTAATCATGGAATTATTTCGGCAAAGATGCTGTTATTGTTCAAACAGATCGTCCAAGAAATCTCTGCTTCATTTTTATCAGTCAGTAAAATTGTATTTCTGTACTGTATTTCGCTGGTTGAATGGGCGAATATGCTATGCATTTAACATAACACTGCTTGGTCAAAATGAGTTGAAATATAATATATTGGTGGGGCTGCTGACTGGGTAATGAAACTGGAGCTTGGTAAACTGGCCAAGGCTAGTGGAGGCTTCCGGGCTTCGCTGGTCCACCGCGGTCAAAGATCCGTGAGTTTGCTCTAGCAGAAGATTCGTTAATGTGTCTGTGCCTTGAGCAGCATTAGCCTTGCAATCAGAGGTCCGCAAGGATGCCGCTCCTTCCTCCCGGAGGCGCCCAGCTTTCTCCTGTCTCCTGACCAGTAACTGCTGCAAGGCGCAGGTGCCCGCCGGCTACCACCTGCCAGGTCAGCCAAGCTGCACGGCCGCATGGCTTCCATGCGAGGCGGTGGTCACGCTGGTCACCTGTGGAGCTCTCTGAGGGAGGCCACAGAAGCACAGCCGCTGTTTGAGTTGGTGCTGCTTCACTTTGGAGTCCCTCTATCACGTTTCTCTCACGAAAAGTGTCTGAAAACCTCTGTTAGCTTTGGGTTATCCTGTAGATAATCTTCTGCTGATCTCTGATTGTGGCGAAGGAGCGGAGCAAGAGCTCATGTGACGAGACGTGTGACACGGCCAAGATGGCGTTAGTGGGAATTGCCCATTTGGCTTCATAACCATCTTTTAGAGAGAGACAGGTAGGCTATGTCCAGGTATATGTTTATGCTTTAAAGGTATAGTGTTGAAATTATTGGCAAATGCTGTTGAAGCTGCTACATAAAAAATGAATAAAAAATTCTGATCCAGCTTCCTTTGTTCAGTATTGCCCCTAATAGTCTCAGAGTCTGATGATTGGTATAATGGTAAATGGCCCGCATTTGTATAGCACCTTTTTAGGGTTCTACAACCCCCCAAGGCACTTTACAACACAATCAGTCATTCACCCATTCACACACACATTCACACACTAATGGTGATGAGCCACAGCTGCCCTGGGGTGCACTGACAAAGGCGAGGACGGATGAACACTGGCTCCACCAGTCCCTCTGACCACCACGGGTAAACTGTCGTGCCCAAGAACACAACAGCAGCCTTCTGTGATCAGAGCCGTGATCGAACTTGCAACCTTCCGATTTTTGGACAACCTGCTCTACCTCCTGAGCTTCTGCTGTGGTTGCAGAAAACGATGCAACCCCAAACACAAGGGAACTTACTGTGGATATTGATGGATATCTCACTTTTTTGACCTGCTGTTGGCACCTTATCTGCTGTAATTAACTTTCCTAACAGTACGTACCTTTATAGTTATTTAATATGCAAGCTAATACGGTAGCATTTGTAAAAACGAGTTTGCTTTCCTGGTTTACCATTAACTTTAAAATCACAGCAGGTCACAGCCACCAACAAAAACGGAAAAAATTGTAGAACCCCCTGAAACTTCTACTCTTGTCCACTCTGCCATGCCATGTCCACATGCACGCACACACACACACACACACACACACTGCTCTGCCAGAGGACAGGCTGTGTTCACGCAACAGATAGGTCATCGAAACGTTTCCTAATAAGAACAGAACCAGACTCTACATGGGACAGTTAAACAGACAGAATTGTTAAACAATTCCTTCAATGACATTTGCAAACCACCAAACCGAGCATGTCGTCTGTTACACTAGAACAAGCACTTGCTTCAAGCTACTTTTGGCTAGCCGGTATATGAGGAACATTTCAAACCACAAGGGGGAAAACGCTCCGGAAAAACATCGTCCACCCTACCTTTAGGTTTGCCAATTATCAGTTCATAATTTTGATCATTTTGTACAAATGTTTTAAATCTTATACAGTTGAATGTTAAAGATCTTCAGCATGCGTCCATATTTCCTGTCCTTTTAACATAATAATAAAAAACATTCCGAGCACAAGCCAGCTGAAGAGCACAAAAACAGCAAATACAAAAAGCTCTCACTTTTTGTCAGCGTGCAGTTGAACGCATCCTCCCAGAACTCCGTAAGCACAGAGGAGGCAGCTACTTCTGTAGGAGGAAGTCTGAGCAGAAAGTTTCTCAGACCTGGAATGACAGATTGTTGAATAGCAACCCCGATGGCTCCTGCACAGAAACTGTAGCTCATCAAGAGCGAATCGGTGCTCCAGCTCTCGGTTCCAACCCACTGACGAGGTGATGGAGGACCCCGGGCCAGCTCCTCTAACAGAACGCTCGTTTCCCCAGTTGCTGTAAATGCCACAACAACTTTAGCTGTTGACCTGCAGACAGATTGAAGGAGAAGAAAAGTGCATTATTTATATAAATAAAAGATAAAAAATACAAGGCAATAAAATGTAACTCAAAATATTAGACAAAATAGATTTTCTGAGACCTAATAATTTTTCTGTGCAGCGTTTATTATTTATTTATGTATTTGTTCTTGTGAAGTGCCTCATGATTTTTATCTTGAGAGGCGCTATATATATTTTTTCTTCATCTTTAATTATGTTGCTAAGCAAACAGCAAAAGACAAAAATATCCATTACAATTTATATTATATAATTAGCACAACTCTTGTGCAAATAAATACTACGCATCTCCGTTTTCAATGTTCCAAAAACTGTAAAAAAAAAAAAAACCAAACATTTCTCTTTTAAAAAATAAATCACACACTTTTCAGAATTCCTGTGCTGAAAGTCTACATCAGGCTTATGTTTAGATTCATAATCAGTGTCGTAGAAACCTGCGAATGACATCAGCCACTCTCTTGATCTTGCTACGCGGGTCGGTTCGAAAAAAGGATACAGAGTACTCCACACAGATTCCCTCTCTCTGTGCTGCGGCAAGAAAAGACGCCATCCCATAATTTCCATAATCTGAGTCTGAGCGGACAGCACCTATCCAAGTCCATCCAAAGTGTTTCACCAGTTTGGCCAGTGCATCAGCCTGGAACTGGTCACTGGGAATGGTTCTGAAAAAGGTCGGGAACTGCTGCTTGTCTGACAGACAGGAACATGTGGCAAAGTGGCTGACCTAAAATGAGAAAAGCAGAACGTGATGTGCTGACAGAAACAGTTTGTATGGGTTGTTTTAATTTTGCTGTGCAGTAAATCCAGACTATTTACCTGAGGAATATTAAAGGGTCCAATGATGCGTGAAAAGCTGATTGATGGTGTTGAGCTAGAGTCACCAACGACAGCCACGATTGCATCAGATTGAGAACAATTGTTGTCTTGATAAAACACAGGGTCCTGACCATTTAACTGTTGAAAGGCTACGTGCGTGGCCACAAGCCCAGACGCACAAGTATCATATATTTGATATCCTAGTTTGATTCCCGGCAGCAGCTCTGTGCTGTTGTTGATCTCCTCGATAGCAAACATCATTGCACGAGAGAAACGCAGGTTTCGAACATTAAGGCTGCACAAAATCAATCAGATGAGAGTCAGAGAAAATTACAGAGTAATGTAAAAAAGTTTACGAATGATCACTAATTACAAATGCAAAACAGCTGATATTACATTTCATTTGTAAAACAAATATCACATTTTTTCAATGACATAATGAGTGATTTTCCTAATTTAATTGCACAGATGCATTAAAAAATAAAATAACACACACACACACACACACACACATATATATATATATATATATATATATATATATATATATATATATATATATATATATATACAGTAAATATATAATATAATATAATATTTTTATTTTTTATCTCTAGCTCCAGTTCATTTTGTGTAAAAGGTAACAAAATAAGGATAATAAGGCCAGCTTTATTTTTTTATCTATATACATTTTTAGTCTTCCAAATCACAAACGTATTTGCAGCAAATGAAAAAAATTCCATTTACATACCTATCTTTCTCTCTCTTTTTTACTGACCTTTCTGTGCAGCGTGGAGGCTCCGGCTTGGTAGTGTAATTATAAATCACTGTTTGTGCTTTGTTGTGAATGAGGAAAACCGCTCCAATAACAAAGTCCCCATGCACTGAAAATATGGATAAACGCGGTGTCCCCTGCAAAGTGCATTTTAGTGGAAACGCCACAGTCTGAACACCAGCGCTGGTTCTAATAGGCTTAATCCCATTTTTGACATCATCCAGAAAAACACCAAAGACAACAATTGACATCAGTGCCCACAAACTCAACACTAATCTCTCACCAATAAAAAATAATTTGATCTCCATTCGTCAAATGTTTGTTTCTTAGTACAAGTCTGTTTTTACTGTTTTTAAACTTCTATGGGTCATCAGGTGGGTGTTCATTTCAAAGAGACACTCCTACCAGCAATCTCTGGTTACGCCTTTGACGACTCTAAAGACCTCAAATCCACTAGGTTTCTCTGTGGTGCATAGTTTTATATTTTCTAGTCTCCTCTCTGGGCATCAAATATGTCCCATTTTACTGTTGAGTCCAAGTCAGGAACAATTAAACTCTAAGATCAAGAGAGCTCCTTCCTCAGTGGCTGGTCCCCACAAACCTTCAGACTGGCAAGGATGATGAATGCAGATCTCTGATGTTTCACATGGAGAATACCAGTGCATTCCATCGGGCAGATGCTTTAGAGTGCCCTTATGCAGAAGGAATAAATATAAACATTATGTTATCCCACATTCAGGGCCAGATTAACACTTTGTTGTACCCTGGGCAACAATATTAAAGGGCCCCATCATCACGACCCAAGGATCACCATAATATGGTCACATACAGAATATTTTACTGTAATATGTAGTAAATATACTCAAAACTTGAATGATTGATGTCACGTAACCCGCTCAGGGTAACCTTTGACCCACCTCATGTGGACTGACTAATGAGGAGAGGGTCTTAACTTGAGGCCCTCTCTTCATTGGTCAGTCTGACTCTCAACTGACGTTCAAAGTCATAGGCAGCGAAGCGTCTCTGTGCAGCGCAAAAGCCCGGGTGGACGGTTTGTTAAATATAGGGTGATCGTATTTCTATTTCCAAAATAGAGGACAGGGGATCTGTGCCTACGATGTCACACTATGGCAACGCCACACAAACCACGTTGGGACCCTTTTTTTTTAAAGAATTAAATTAATATCAGATTCTGCCAATAAAAGGTCTTTAAAACAATTCATATGTAAATATTTAGCATATTTACTGCAAAATCTCATTTTTCTGCTTTAGTGCTGCAACAAGGTTTTATTAATAAGAAATTATTATACCTTTTGTTTTACTTCAGCATCGGTACGCTTCCTGTGCACAGATTATTAAGGATGCTTGTTTCAGCTGTGAGATTAGATGACAGGGTCAGTGAAAATACAAGTTGCCACACACTCCATGGAAACTTTAGGATAATCCACAAATAGTGGCTTTCAAATGGTTTTGTTACTTTTTGCAAGTTTAGAAAAGAAGCAGATGAGACAGCAAGTCTGATCATTTATTTTTTCATCTGATAATATTAGAACATGTCAGTAATGTCTGAGGGGCTTTTATAAACACTGTATAACTAATACTCCTGGACAGGGTATGGAGAGGCTTCTGGGGATCCCAGTTGGGGGGGGGGGGGGGGGGGCTGGGTGTGTAACTGAGTTTTGAAGGTGATCTAAAATGAATCAGATGTATAAACAATACATGTGTATAACTTACTGTTTTATACAGGTAAAAACGTGGAGCGGAGATAAATCTACCTACATTTTACTTTTCAACACTTTGTTTTGTTTTCTTGTTTTTATTTAACTATTTTCCTGTCCTGTCTGTCTCTCATCTCCCTGCATCTCCTCTAAATTCTCCAGAAAATCTGCTCATCAGTTACTTTTGAGCAGATCAAAGCTCTTGACCGCAAAGCGGAGTGCACGTTTCAATGCTGCGTCTGTGAGGTGAAATCACCGCAGCACAGGTGATGAGCTCCGCAGTGTGTAGCAGTAGCAGAGCACTTCAGGCAAAAATAAGACAGAAAGTAGAGAACATGTGCGGGCATGAACGATTGTGTGCTAATTATAGTTTTTTGGTGGCACCACTTTGAGAATGGACCGTGCGCTGGACGCAGCAGCCTGGAGCACTGCACACCAACGATCATCGCTATATGTGCTCTCTGTAATGTCTGTAATGCCTCACTAAAGACACAAAACACAAAAAAAAATAAAACCATCCATTCATCTGCTGCTCATATTGGCGATTGGTTTTAGGATTTACATGCCTAAAATTAGCAGTTTTAAAGAGTCCCCAATTGTGACATCACAAATGATAAAATTTGCAGACACTAAACCCTCCCTCCTCAACCGCTGACACTGGGAGAGCACCAGCTTTACATTGATCCCCTCCAGATTAACAGCCTAATCAGTATATGCTGGTGAAGGTTCTCAGTCATCCAGGTCATAGTAGCTGGAGTTCTTTGATTTCTTGTAGATGTTTCGCTCTAAACAAAACAACCATTCCCACACAATATACCCTAATGACATTAGTGGCTCCTCAGGGAGCAGTTTGGAGGGGCATTCATATGTACTTTCTGCTCATTAAACAACAACAGACTCAACACAACCCTACAACTTCCTTAAGGAACTCCGGGCGGATCTCGTCCACCCTCAGAGCCTTGCCACCAAGGAGCTTTTTGACCACCTTAGTGACCTCAATGCCAGAGATTGGAGAGCCCAACCCAAATTCAATTAATTTCAAGTTTATTTAGAAAGCGCCAAATCACGACAAGAGTCGCCTCAAGGCACTTCACACAGTAAACATTCCAATACAGTGCAGTTCATTAAGCCAATCAGTAAAACATTTCCAATATAAGGAACCCAGCAAATTGCATCGAGTCACTGACTGGTGTCAGTGTATTACAGCAATCCTCATACTAAGCAAGCATTTGGCGACAGTGGAGAGGAAAACTCCCTTTTAACAGGAAGAAACCTCCAGAGGTTCCTGGCCCAGTATAAGCAGCCATCCGCCATGACTCACTGAGGATCAGGAAGACAGAACAGACACACGCACACACCAACCCCCCCCCCGCACACACACACACACACACACACACAACATATATACCAAGTAGGGTTTCTATGGTTACATTATGATTTATTAGTAAATAATCTACTTAGTGAGAGATAAACTTTACTGTATTTATCCTAGTGAATCTATAATTAAACGGGTAAACTAGTAGTAGCACATTCAATGTCAAAGAAAGTAAAATGTTATTATCAGTAGAGGGAGAATGTTTTAGTGGTTAGAAGCAGTGTTCAATCTGATGGCCCCCTCCATGAGGCCACCACAGCTCAGCAGAACATCACTGTAGCTTCTTCTGGGAAGAAAAACACTTGGAGAAAAAATAAAGTTAACAGTTGAAATAGCAAGAAATAATACAGTTAAAGAGCAGATTGTAGAAGAAAGTAGTAGAGTGGAAAGTGGTCAGTATGTCCTCCAGTTGCGTAAGCCTATAGCAGCATAACTACAGGGATAACCCTAGATAACCTAGCCTTTTAGATGGAGGCAAAGTCCCCAGACCCTGCTTCCTCACTAAAAGAGGTGCTGGTTGGATTGATGAGGTCTTCGAAGTACTCCTCCCACCGATCCACAATGTCCTGAGTTGAGGTCAGCACACCATCCCCACTATAAATGATGTTGGTAGCAAACTGCTTTCCCCTTCTGAGGCACGGGATGGTGGACCAGAATCTCCTAGAAGCCGTATGGAAGTCTTGCTTCATAGTCTCACAGAACTCCTCCCTCGTCTGGGGCATATTCCGCTTGGCCTACCAATACCTTTCAGATGCCTCTAGAGTCCTACAGGCCAAAAAGACCTGATAGGACTCTTTCTTCAGCTTGACGGCATCCCTGACCATTGGTATCCACCAGTGGGTTTGGGGATTGCTGCCACGAAAGGCACCGACGACCCTGTGGCCACAGATCTGGCTGCCTGCCTTGACAATGGAATCACGGAACATGGCCCACACGGACTCAATGTCCCCTGCCTTCCCCGGAACATTTTGAAAGTTCTGTTGGAGGTGGGAGTTGAAACTTCTTCTGACAGGAGACTCCACCAGATGTTCCCAGCAGACACTCACAATACGTTTAGGCCTGCCAGGTCTGACTGGCACCCTCCCCCACCATCGAAGCCAACTCCCCACCAGGTAGTTGTCACCTGACAGCACCACCCCTCTTTTCACCAGAGTGTTCAAGACATGCGGCCGTAAATCAGAAGAAACGACGACAAAGTTGGTGATTGAGCTGTGGCCTAAGGTGTCCTGGTGCCAACAGCACATATGGACACCTTTATGTCTGAACATAGTGTTCATTATGGACGATCCAAGACAAGCACAGGAGTCCTAGAACAAAACACTGCTCAAATTCAGATCAGGGGGGTCGTTCCTCCAAACCACACCTCTCCAGGTCTCACTGTCATTGCCCATGTAAGCATTAAAGTCCCCCAGCAGAACGAGGGAGTCACCGAAAGGAGCTCTCTCCAACACCTCCTCCAAGGACTCCCAAAAGGGTGGGTAGTCTGAACTGTAGTTTGGTGCGTAAGCATAGAGAGCAGTCAGGACCCATCCCCCACACGTAGGTGGAGGGAGGCTACCCTCTCTGTCACTGGGGTAAACCCCAACTTAGCTCCGATATGGGAGGCAAAAAGTATGCCCACCTCAGCTTGGCGCCTCTCACTGGGAGCAAGTCCAGAGTGGTAGAAAGTCCAACCCCTCTCGAGGAAACTGGTTTCAAAGCCAGAGCCACATCTAGTCGGAACCTCTCAACCTCACCCATCAATTCCGGCTTTCCCCACTAGAGAGGTGACATTCCACAGACCGAGAGCTCGTTTTTGTAGCCGAGGATCAGACCGAAAAGCTCTCTGTTTTCGGCTACCACCTGACACACGATGCACCCGACCCTTTTGGCCCCTCCCACGAGTGGTGAGCTCATGACAAGGGGAACCCATGTCTTCTCTTCGGGCTGTGCCGGGGTCTATGGGTAAAAGCCCGGCCACTAGGCACTTGCCAACATGCCCCAACTCCAGGCCTGGCTCAAGAGGGGGGCTCCAGCGACCCACGTCCATGAATGGGAACACTGTTTCCATTTGCATTGTTCATGATAAGGGGTCTTTGGGCTGCACTTTGTCTGATCCCTCACCTAGGACCTGTTTGCCATGGGTGACCCTACCACAGGCATAAAACCTCAGACAAGTCAGCTCCTGGGATCATTGGAACACTCAAACACAACAAGCAGGTAACTGGCAACTGGACTAGATTTCTAGGCTAGAGGGTTGTCCTTATTTAGGGCACATGGGAAAATGTAAAGGTGTATTTCAGGGGACCTTTGTGTTACCCATTTTAGAACTAATCAGTTAGACTTTATTTGTATACATAGTTTTATTAGGTCAAATGGAGATGAAATTAATACAAATACAATAAACAAATCCACTCCTTTAATGTTCCTTAATTTGACACAATGAAACACCCCACATGCAAAAAACAAAAAAGAAAAAAAAAAAACAGAGCATTCTCTATCAAAGTTCAGAAGATATCAAAACGCCGAGGTTATGGTTGACTGCAGCTCCGTCTGAAATCAATTTTCATGTTTCTGAGAAAAAAAAACATCCATTTATACCAAACATAAAAAATGTCAGCAATGTCAACTGTAGTTTAGTTGTATTCCTAATGACCTTGCCCTCTTGCTTTTACACCACTGAAAATTTACATTTTGTTTTTGTCCATAAGATATCTCTTAGAGTTCTTCTCAGGCTGAACTATTATGATGAAACACTTTGGAGCAAATATACACAGAATCAGTCCAAAACTGGAGGCCAGAATAGCAAATATCTCCACAGCTACAGTAAATTTTCCAGGAGAGCTGACATATGCTGGGATGAAGGTGAGCCACACTGCACAGAATATCAGCATGCTGAAGGTTATCAGCTTGGCTTCATTAAAATTATCAGGTAGTTTCCGAGCTAGAACAGCTAACACAAAGCAGAAAACAGCCAGCAGGCCAATGTACCCGAGCACAGCCCAGAACCCAACAGCAGAACCTAATGCACATTCCAGGATGATCTTCTCCTTGTATGTGCTCAGATTGTTCATTGGGAATGGAGGGCTGAGTAACAACCACACAGTACAGATTATAATTTGAATAAATGTGAAAAACACAACAGTCATTCTTTGCTGTGGAGGCCCAAACCATTTCATGACATTACTACCTGGAAGTGTAGCTTTAAAGGCCATTAAAACCACTACAGTTTTGCCAAGAACACAGGAGATACAGAGAACAAAGGTGATACCAAACGCTGTGTGTCGCAGCATGCAGGACCAATCAGAGGGAGCTCCGATGAAAGTTAATGAACATAAGAAACACAGAGTCAGAGAGAAGAGCAGCAGGAAGCTCAGCTCAGAGTTGTTGGCTCTGACAATTGGAGTTGTTCTGTGATGAAAGAAAATAGCTGCTGTTATGATGGCCAGACAGGCCCCACTAACAGAGAATGCAGCCAGGATGATTGCCAGGACTTCGTCATAGGAAAGAAACTCCACAGGTTTGGGGAAACAAGCGTCTCTTTGTGCATTAGGCCACAATTCACTGGGACACGGGGAACAGTCTGGAGAATCTGCAAAATAAAAGAATTATGAAGACATTTTAACTATCAGACGATAATGCATATACCCAAAACATTCCATTTTACCTGTTTTGTTACTAATCTCTCCTTCAGGACATGGTATACAATCATAGCAGCAGATGGGTTTTCCTTTCTGCAGGACTTTACGAGTTCCTGGATGACAACTCTCAGAACACACTGATACTGGGACCTGTCATTGACACGAGATACATGACTACATATTTTTACACAAAGCTATTTATTTAGTCAATTTTAAGGTTCCATACTTGTGTACTACCATCCATCCAGGTTATGTTCCTGTTGGTATGAAACTCCTGTCCTTTAGGCAGTGATGCATCATAGTACCCTACTGTTACCAGCTCAATAACTCCACTCTCACTCTTCTGCCAGTTGACCAGCTCATAAAAAGCTACAGGATCTCCATTAGCATCAAATGACACAGGATAACCATTTCTGGAGAAGTTGACTTTCTGTAGTTGAGGTAAAACCTGAGAAGTAACAGTCAAAGAGGAAAAAGGAAGCTAAAAATGTGAAACAACTCATTTAAGCGACAGGAGGTAGGTTTGTGTTTTTGTGAGCTGACCTGTTTGAGCTCCAACTTTATGTCTTTCTCACACTTTGTGGTAAAGTTGTTGGGTTGGCACATTGCATTGTGAATGGCATGAGCCATTGCATACACAGCCTTGTACACCATGTTGGTTATTCTTAACTGAGATGTATCGGTGTACGGGCTTTTGAGCATTTTTAAGTCTTCACTTCCATCACATTCTCTATTTTGTGGAGCAGCATCTAAAGACAAAATGTTGAAAGTCCAAAATTGGATCACTAAAAAAATAAAAAAAGAAGTCTCTTTCTCAGAGACTGCTGAATATGTAAATACAATTTCAAGTGTGTAACTAATATTTACAAAATCTCTGACTTTTTTGCAGTGTGCAGTTGAACGCATCTTCCCAGAACTCAGTCAGCACTGAGGAGGCAGCTACTTCAGTGGGAGAAAGATCCAGCAGGAAGTCTCTCAGACCTGGGATGACAGATCGTTGAATGGCAACTCCGATGGCTCCTGCACAGAAACTGTACCTCATCAGATAGGGCTCAGTTATCCATCCCTCACTTCCTACCCACTGACGAGGCGGTGGAGGATCCCTGGCCAGCACCTCTAACAGAGCCATCAAGTCACCAGAAGCTGTGAATGCCACAACAACCATTGCTGTTGACCTGCAGAGACGTTTTAGTAAAGTGATTTTCATATTTTCAAACGTAATTTATTGAAATGTATTTTCAAAATGTACCACTTTCTATTAACAGTCTCACATCCTTAAAGTAACAAATGATAATAACATATACAAAACCATCCTATTAAAAGTGCTGTAACTGTGCTTTAAATGCCTTTAGAAAGTCTAAAAACATAATAAAAGCTCTGTAGAAACATGGTGTTGATTTGAGTATTCCCCTTTTTATGAAAAAAATGTAATAATTTTTTGGGTATTGCTGTATAATAATATAATTTCAAAGCGCAACCCATAAACAATCACATTCACATATGAGTATCAGTTCTTCTAGTGTCCTGAGTACTGTATATGAATATAAACACTTTATTATTTCAGATAAAAAAAATCTACTATAATTGTCCTTATAATGTCAATGCAGTGGATTCACTTCAAAACTAACACACAGTGAAAATCATAGAAACCTGCGAATGACATCAGCTACTCTCTGGATCCTGCTGAGCGGGTCGGTTCGGAGTAAGGATACAGAATATTCCACACAGATTCCCTCTCTTTGAGCTGCTGCAAGAAAAGACGCCATCCCATAATTTCCATAATCTGAGTCTGAGCGGACAGCACCTATCCAAGTCCAGCCAAAGTGTTTCACCAGCTTGGCCAGTGCATCGGCCTGGAACTGGTCACTGGGAATTGTTCTGAAAAACGTTGGGAACTGCTGCTTATCTGACAGACAGGAACATGTGGCAAAGAAGCTGACCTAAAATGAGAAAATTACATTGGTTTCCAAAAATTAATATGAATTCTATGTAATATCAGCATCTTTTTTTTTTCTTCTTTGTATCAAATTCAAACTATTACATTTGTAATGGGTTAAAAGGCGGAAAATGTTGTGAACACACACGGAGAGACTTCACCTCTCCGTAAATGCAGACTGCTTACCAGAGGCACATTGAAGGATCCGATGATGCGTGATATACTGATGGATGCTGAAGATGAAGAGTCTCCAACAACACCCATCACCAAACCAGATCGAGAACAGTTGCTGCCTTTGTGAAACACAGGATCCTGCCCATTTATTAGCTGAAAGGCCGCATGAGCTGCTACAAGCACTGACGCACAAGTATCATGGATCTGATATCCAAGTTTGATGCCTGGAAGTAGCTCTGTGCTGTTGTTGATCTCCTCGATAGCAAAGATCATTGCTCGAGAATAACGCAGGTTCTGGGCACTGAGGCTGCACAGGATAAATCACGACATATTTGACAGTTGGATTACTACAAAGAATAATAACAATTTTAAATTAACCAACTTACTATGTAGCTCATATACAAACACTAAAGGTTATCGGACACTTGATGAGTTCATTTGAATAAAAAAAAATTACTCACCCTAAATGAGAGCCTCAGCTGTGTTTGTACAGAATTTAATTGTATTGAATAAAAAACTAAGAAAAAAATTCTTCTGCTTTTTTATAATTAAAACCACTCGAATAACTTTGTTTTTTTCTTGGTGATAAAGGTTTCAGATGAATTTCCAACTTGTTCAGTCTTTTCAAAAAATGATCATAATCTTTATCATATTTCCATAAGATCACAGCCAACTTTCAAACAAAGCCATTTCCCGTCATTTAAGAACCCATTTAGCCAGCCCCAGTCTTACTAACCTGCCTGTGCAACTTGGAGGCTCCGGCTTGGTGCTGTAGTTATAAACCTTTGTTTTCACATTGTTGTGAAGGAGAAGAGAACCTCCTAAAACAAGGTCCCCATCCAGTGAGAACACAGGTAAACGCGGGGCACCCTGCAGATTGCATGTTATAGATGAAGCCTCTGTGGGAACACCATCACCAGTGAGAGCATCTAAAGGCTCGACCACTCGTTTCAGACTATCCAGAGAATCCACCATCACTTCAAACAAACCCAGTACTAATTGCACACCAATGAATACAGACCTGATCTCCATTCCTCATGTGTATTTTTAGCAGGTGCAAGTGGTTTTTATTACTTTCTAAACTTCCACTGAGTATCAAGGGATTGTTCAACACAAACAATTCAATTCAGTAATACTTTATTAATCCCAGAGGGAAATTGATTGCTGTAGTAGCTCAGAACAATAGTAATAATCGAGTCGTCAAAGAGTTGTTGTATATTACAATGGCTCTTGGCAGGAAGGATCTCCAGTAGCGGTCAGTGTTGCAGCAAAACTGAAGAAGCCTCTGACAGAAGACACTCTTCCGTTGTTTAACAGTCTTGTGAAGAGAACGCTCAGGGTTGTCCATCATTTTCTTGATTCTCTGGAGAATCCTTCTTTACTTTATCTCCTCCAGTGCTTCCACAGTCGTCCCCAGAACAGAACCAGCCTTTTTTATTAGGCTGCTGAGCCTTTTCAGGTCCCTGCTTCTGATGCTGACCAGCACCTCATTTATCATTGGCCATTATGATCGATGGAAGAGATGGTTTGAATTTCTGCTTTCTCTGTCTCTGTTTTGCTCCCGCTCTGCGCCCACACCTTGCGTTTTAGCGTTTTAGCTCATTTGGGATTTGTGGCTTCAGTTGAGGTATTATTTCAACCTTTCCAATGTTAATCAGCTGCTCCCGATTGTAAACCAGCTTGTTACCATGGTTACGCATCATAACAAATGCTCAAAAAGTGAAAAAATTGCAGTAAAAATCCTCCAAGCTTCACAGCACAAGAAACAGAAAAGTAAAGTGTCCAAAAAAAAAATAAACTGTTTTTCTTGAGAAACTAGAAGAAAAAATGTCTCTAAAAGGCAAAACTTTCAAATAGTCAACAGAGCTACTCCAACATGCAGCCACCCAGAGCAGCGCAGTTCCGGAAGACAAGACAACCTTCATCTGCTATCTTTAGTTACGCCTTTGATGTTATTTGGACAAGATTTCCTCTACGTCTATTTGTGTCTAACTTTTGTGTTTTAAAATCCTCCCTGAGCATCAGAAACAATATTTATTTAACTCGCACACACTAGTTGTATTCTTATGGTCATATTCTGGACCGTTAACTCTACCTTTCGCTGGAGCGGTTCGCAGCCAAACGTGGCACAGCTGGGATGAGAATCAGTTTCTCCAAATCCAAGTCCATGGTCTTGAGTCGTGAAATGGTAGGATGCATTCTTCCAGGTCAGGGTTAAGGTCCTGCCCCAGGTGGGGGGTGTATCTCGGGCTCATGTACACGAATGGGGGAAACATGGATCGGGAGATTGATAGGTGGATTGGTGCTGCGTCTGCAGTGATGCGGGCGTTATACCGCTAGAATTGAGAACATGTCACTCAGACAGCTTCTATATTCAAATTTTTGACCCAGGTAAATTGTTGAAGCTTCTGTAGTAAATCATGAAACATTCACCCCTTCACTCGGGCATCTTTCCTGATCCGCTTCTCCCAGAACGCAAAACCTGTGTTACCAGAAGGAACGAGAGAGCACTGAATACTAGTCGCTATTTTCTACTTCAAATGTTTTTTTTGGGTGGGGACTCTGGTGGGTTTTCCTAAAGTTGAAGTGGTAGCAGACGGCTATTTCTCCTTCTCTGATATTATTGAGAAAAGACACTCACACACCAGTTGTGTTCTGTTATCAAATGTGTGAGTGTGTAATGAGTGGAGGACCCAGGGAAGTACGGAAGTGCAGCAGTTCAACGAGATCGACAACTAGATGGTCCAGTGGTTGCCTTTGGTCTGAAACTTGTTATTTAGCAGAGGTTTTTAGACAAATGAGAGAAAACATATTTTACATTTTTATTTATTTATTTTTTATTCCCCCAGTAAATTCAAAGGTATCTGCATCCATCAGGCAGTGGACAGAATTTTGGGAGATACTTATAGGAGCTCTCTTTCTCAATAATATGACGGCATAAAAAAGTTGAACTTGTAGTTACAGCATGAAGACCAAATCTCTCAATGAATGTTTAAACAGTGGACGAGTTTCTGAAACATGGCATCAAAAGTTAGTAGTGTCAAGTTTATTTTAGTTGCAGTCATATTCATCTCCCCAGATGATTTAAAACCTTTTATTCTTTGTATTTAGTTTTGTCCAATAAAGATCTTTTGCAGTTTTTCTCAGGCTGAAATAAGATGATGAGACACTTTGGAGCAAATATACACAGAATCAGTCCAAAACTGGAGGCCAGAATAGCAAATATCTCCACAGCTACAGTGAATTTTCCAGGAGAGCTGACATATGCTGGGATGAAGGTGAGCCACACTGCACAGAATATCAGCATGCTGAAGGTTATCAGCTTGGCTTCATTAAAATTATCAGGTAGTTTCCGAGCTAGAACAGCTAACACAAAGCAGAAAACAGCCAGCAGGCCAATGTACCCGAGCACAGCCCAGAACCCAACAGCAGAACCTAATGCACATTCCAGGATGATCTTCTCCTTGTATGTGCTCACATTCTTCATTGGGTATGGAGGGCTGAGTAACAACCACACAGTACAGATTAGAACTTGTATGAATGTAAATAGCACTACAGTCATTCTTTGTTGTGGAGGCCCAAACCATTTCATGGCATTACTACCTGGAAGTGTAGCTTTAAAGGCCATTAAAACCACTACAGTTTTGCCAAGAACACAGGAGATACAGAGAACAAAGGTGATACCAAACGCTGTGTGTCGCAGCATGCAGGACCAATCAGAGGGAGCTCCGATGAAAGTTAATGAACATAAGAAACACAGAGTCAGAGAGAAGAGCAGCAGGAAGCTCAGCTCAGAGTTGTTGGCTCTGACAATTGGAGTTGTTCTGTGATGAAAGAAAATAGCTGCTGTTATGATGGCCAGACAGGCCCCACTAACAGAGAATGCAGCCAGGATTATTGCCAGGACTTCATCATAGGAAAGAAACTCCACAGGTTTGGGGAAACAAGCGTCTCTTTGTGCATTAGGCCACAATTCTCTGGGACACGGGGAACAGTCTGGAGAATCTGCAAGAAATATTTGTTAGCACCGGTATATTTAATACTTTTGATAAAATTAACCATTTTACTTTACCTGTCATGTTACTAATCTCTCCTTCAGGACATGGTATACAATCATAGCAGCAGATGGGTTTTCCTTTCTGCAGGACTTTACGACTTCCTGTTGGACAACTCTCAGAACACACTGAAACTGGGACCTGTTAAATTAATGAATTGTATTCATGAGTTCATGTAACACATGCATAACTATATTTTTGCTCCTTACTTGTGTGCCACCATGCATCCAGGTTATGTTCCTGCTGATATGAAACTCATTTCCTTTAGGCAGTGATGCATCATAGTACCCTACTGTTACCAGCTCAATAACTCCACTCTCACTCTTCTGCCAGTTGACCAGCTCATAAAAAGCTACAGAATCCCCGTTAGCATCAAATGACACAGGATAACCATTTCTGGAGAAGTTGACTTTCTGTAGTTGAGGTAAAACCTGAGAAGTAACAGTCACAAAGAGGAAAAAGGAAGCTAAAAATGTGAAACAACTCATTTAAGCGACAGGAGGTAGGTTTCTGTTTTTGTGAGCTGACCTGTTTGAGCTCCAACTTTATGTCTTTCTCACACTTTGTGGTAAAGTTGTTGGGTTGGCACATTGCATTGTGAATGGCATGAGCCATTGCATACACAGCCTTGTACACCATGTTGGTTATTCTTAACTGAGATGTATCGGTGTACGGGCTTTTGAGCATTTTTAAGTCTTCACTTCCATCACATTCTCTATTTTGTGGAGCAGCATCTAAAGACAAAATGTTGAAAGTCCAAAACTGGATCACTAAAAAAAATAAAAAAAGAAGTCTCTTTCTCAGAGACTGCTGAATACAGTGGGGCAAACATTATTTAGTCAGCCACCGATTGCGCAAGTTCTCCCACTTAAAATGATGACAGAGGTCAGTAATTTACATCATAGGTACACTTCAACTGTGAGAGACAGAATGTGAAAAGAAATCCATGAATTCACATGGCAGGATTTTTAAAGAATTTATTTGTAAATCAGGGTGGAAAATAAGTATTTGGCCACTTTAAACAAGGAAAATCTCTGGCTCTCACAGACCTGTAATGTCTTCTTTAAGAAGCTTTTCTGTCCTCCACTTGTTACCTGTATTAATGGCACCTGTTTGAACTCATTATCTGTATAAAAGACACCTGTCCACAGCCTCAAACAGTCAGACTCCAAACTCCACTATGGCCAAGACCAAAGAGCTTTCGAAGGACACCAGGAAAAGAATTGTAGACCTGCACCAGACTGGGAAGAGTGAATCTACAATAGGCAAGCAGCTTGGTGTGAAAAAATCAACTGTGGGAGCAATTATCAGAAAATGGAAGACATACAAGACCACTGATAATCTCCCTCGATCTGGGGTTCCACTCAAGATCTCATCCCGTGGGGTCAAAATGATAATGAGAACGGTGAGCAAGAATCCCAGAACTACATGGGGGGACCTGGTGAATGACCTTCAGAGAGCTGGGACCACAGTAACAAAGGTCACCATCAGTTAACACACTACAACGGTAGGGAATCAAATCCTGCAGTGCCAGACGTGTTCCGCTGCTGAAGCCAGTGCATGTCCAGGCCCGTCTGAAGTTTGCCAGAGAGCACATGGATGATACAGCAGAGGATTGGGAGAATGTCATGTGGTCAGATGAAACCAAAGTAGAACTTTTTGGTATAAACTCAACTCGTCGTGTTTGGAGGAAGAAGAATACTGAGTTGCATCCCAAGAACACCATACCTACTGTGAAGCATGGGGGTGGGAACATCATGCTTTGGGGCTGTTTTTCTGCTAAGGGGACAGGACGACTGATCCGTGTTAAGGACAGAATGAATGGGGCCATGTATCGTGAGATTCTGAGCCAAAACCTCCTTCCATCAGTGAGAGCTTTGAAAATGAAGCGTGGCTGGGTCTTCCAACACGACAATGATCCCAAACACACCACCCGGGCAACAAAGGAGTGGCTCTGTAAGAAGCATTTG